CCGAAAAAGACTTCTCCCTGAAATCATAACTTTCAACCATTCTGTCAACACAGGAAGGAAGATACCTACAGAAAAAATTTGAAAATGCCTGAATAACAATGTGGACGTCTCTGACCTCTCAGGTGGGAGGCATTCGTATGGGGGATAAGTCACTAACATCATCCATGCTCAAGGCAGGAAAGAGACCCAGATCTTGGTTTACATCCCAGCCCTGTCAGTTACTGCGTGTATTCTGGACACATTACTTATTTACTACACAAAGGGTGATAACCACACCTCTGAAAGTTTGTTGGAAGATCACTGAGATGTGCAGCACCTGGCACATAGTAACTGCTAAATCAATGAGCTTTATTATTATGTCAATATTATGTCAAGAAAATAGAACAGCAAAAGGGAAATGAGCCCAAATAATATAAAATCTATGCAATAATTCAATGGCATAATCATTAAGTTGTAAAATTATTGCTGGTGTATGTTACTGTATGTGTCTATTGACCACACATAAAATTTAGTCCACTCTTTATCAGATAAATGACAAGAACAGATGCTTGAATAAAGGAATGAATCATCACCTTGCCCTCTTGCTAATGTTCTTTTGCCCCCAAAATGCGTTGTTACCACTAAAATGGTTTTGTCACTGGTACTGTCACTAGGGAAATTTTCAAAGAAGTTGTAAAGAGCAGTATCAAATCAATAGTCTTGAACAGAATTGTTTTTCTAGACTTAAGAGGAGAGATCATGGCTGAAACTAAGATACAACTTTTTTTTAAAGATTTTTTTTTTTTTAAGATTTTACTTATTTATTTGAGAGGGAGAGAAAGGGCGAGCACACACAAGTGAGAGAGCACAAGGGGCAGGGAGAGGCAGAAGGAGAGAAGGGAGAGGGAGAGGGAGAAGCAGATTCCCCACTGAGCAGGGAGCATGATGCAGGGATCCATCCCAGGGCTATGAGATCATGGCCTGAGGTAAGGGCAGACACTTAATTGAGCCACCCAGGCAATCCTTAAGATTTTATTTTATTTTATTTATTTATTTCACAGAGACCACAAGTAGGCAGAGAGGCAGGCAGAGACAGAGAGAGGGGGAAGCAGGCTCCCTGCTGAGCAGAGAGCCCGATGCGGGGCTCGATCCCAGGACCCTGGGATCATGACCTGAGCCGAAGGCAGAGGCTTTAACCCACTGAGCCACCCAGGTGCCCCAAGATTTTATTTTTTAAGCAATCACTACACCCAATGAGGGACTCAAACTTACAACCCTGAGATCAAGAGTCACACGCATTTCCAAATGAGCCAGACAGGGGCCCCAAGAAACAACTTCTTGAGCAATATTATAAAGGAACACATAAGGGCTTCCATCCTTAGACACTTTTAAGCAGACAATGCTCCAGCTGAAAACGTCATCTTCATCTGTGGTAACCAGCCCTCAGGATAGCCTCTACTGACCCTTACTCCCCAGCACATGCCCTTCATTACTCTCCTGCCCAAATTCAATCAAGGCTGGCCCTGAACATGGCTGACGTGATGTTTGAGTTCCAAGGTTGTGTTATAAAAGGCACTTCAGCTTGTGTTTCAGTCTTTCAGATCGATCACTTGCTCGAGAAGAAGCCAGTTGCCATGCTGTGGCAACACTCAAGCTGTCTGTGGGAAAACCCATGTGGCCAACAGTCTAAGCCAACTTGCCAGACATGTGAGAGAACTGCCTTGGAAGTGGATTCTCCACTCCAGATAAGTCTTCAGACAACCACAGCCCTAGCCTACATCTGACTGCAATCTTATGAGTCTGAAACAGAAATGCCCGGTTGAAACCCACCTGAATTCCTGACTCCAAAATTGAGTGAGAAATAATACATGACTTCCATTGTTTTAAGCCACTAAGTTTTTTTGTTTTTGTTTTGTTTTTTTAATATTCTCCAAGCCCAATGTGGGGCTCAAACTCATGCAGCAGGCTCTACTGACTGAGCCAGTCAGGCTCCCCAAATACTTTTTTTTTTAAAGACCTTATTTATTTGAGAGAGACAGAGCATGAGCAGAGGGAGGGGGAAAAGGAGAGGGAAAGACTCCCCTCTGAGCGCGGAGCCAGACGTGGGCTCAATTCTAGGACCCTGAGATCATGACCTGAGCTGAAGGTACACATTTAGCCAACTGAGCCACCCAAATACTTTTTTTTCTTTTTTAAAGTAAACTCTACCCCAATGTGGGGTTTGAACTCATCACCCCAAGATCAAAAATCACATGCTCTACCGATTAAACCCACCTAGCCTGCTTGGTGTGTACTTCTGGGTTATTTGATATGCAGCAAAAGATAGCTAACATATCATCCATAACAGTTGTTTTTTTACTACTGTACAAAGTATCCTGCTTATAGGCTGAACCACATGATCATTCCAGATAACTTCTTTATAGCTTTAATTTTTAACAGGTTGACATGTCATTAACTCTATGTATTTTCCTATAAAATTCTTTTTTTTTTTTAAGATTTTATTTATTTGACAGAGAGAGAGGTCACAAGTAGGCAGAGGCAGGCAGAGAGAGAGGGGGAAGCAGGCTCCCCGCTGAGCAGAGAGCCCGATGTGGGGCTCGATCCCAGGACCCTGAGATCATGTCCTGAGCCGAAGGCAGAGGCTTAACCCACTGAGCCACCCAGGCACCCTCCTATAACATTCTTATGTGATGGGGCGCCTGGGTGGCTCACTGAGTTAAAGCCTCTGCCTTCGGCTCAGGTCATGATCTCAGGGTCCTGGGATCAAGCCCCGCATCAGGCTCTCTGCTCAGTGAGGAGCCTGTTTCCCCCTTTCTCTCTCTGCCTGCCTCTCTGCCTACATGTGATCTCTGCCGAATAAATAAATAAAATCTTTGAAAAAAAATCTTATGTGACAAGGACAATTAGCCAATCAAATATTTAATGAACATCCACTAAGTTAAGGTATTATTCTAGGCACTGTGCTGATTAAAAGGTATGATAATGTTATTGATAATAAAAACAATAGTAAAAATAATGACAGGCACGAAAACTAAAAATGTATTGTCTTGGTGTTCTAGACACTGTACATATATACTCTCACTTAACTTAAATGTATATTGCCAAATGTTTTGCAATTTTTTATGCAATGTTTTTATGACCAGAAAGGTCATACTAAGTTACACTCCATCTGCAATGTTTAAGAACAAACTCACTGCAGATGTTTATCCACCAGCACTTAAAAGTTTTCAAAAAAACCTGATAGGTGAAAAATAGAAGTTTAATCTGCATTTCTAGGATTACCAGGTCTTAAAATGTTAAGCACCTTAAAGTTCTGTCTGACATATGTTACAATGTTGGCACTGTGTTTTCTTGACATTTTTATAGTCAAGTCAACCTCTTCCTTTGTACTTTCTTCCAACCCTTTCATAATTAAAAGGCTCTTTCCTATCCCTGGATCAATTAAATTTTCGCTTGCATTTGTTTCCTAGTTTACAGTTTTATTTTTTATACATGTAGTTGTATTTTGTGGCAGGACATAGGAATTTTTCCCCCCCATAATCACATCTTCTTCACTATTAAGTTTTTCTTTGCCCACTGATTTATGATGCTACCTTTATTATCTTAGTAATTCTTATATTACTTGGGTATGGTTGTGAGCTTTATAATCCTTTCTCATTGGCTGTTGGTTTCAATGTTAGTACTGTGCTTTTAAAAAAAAAAAAGATTAATTATTTATGAGAGAGACAGCGGGGAGAGAGGCAGAGAGACAGAGAGAGAGAGAGAAAATCCAGTAGACTCCCTGCTGAGCACAGAGCCCACTAAGGGGCTTGTCTCACAACCCTGAGATCATGACCTGAGCCAAAATCAAGTATGGTTTAACTGAGTCACTCAGGGGCCCCCATACTACATTTTTTTTTTATTACTAACTTCTACTCATTCATTAAAAACCATCACATTCTCCTCTAGAAGCCTCCCTGATTCTTCCAAAAAGATATGAATGCTGCTTCCTTTTTCACCTTCATAACATAAAGTTTTCTCTTGTATCACAGTTAACAGGGTTGATTTTATCCAATTATGTTTTTTATTTTATCCAATTATATTTTTATTTTTGTATAAATTATATTTATACAGTCATTAAAATTTGATTACTGGATTTGCATTAAAAGGTAGTGATGGCGGGGCGCCTGGGTGGCTCAGTGGATTAAAGCCTCTGCCTTCAGCTCAGGTCATGATCCCAGGGTCCTGGGATCGAGTCCCGCATCGGGCTCTCTGCTCAGCAGGGAGCCTGCTTCCTCCTCTCTCCTCTCTCTCTGCCTGCCTCTCTGCCTACTTGTGATCTCTGTCTGTCAAATAAATAAATAAAATCTTTAAAAAAAAAAAAAAAGGTAGTGATGGCAAAACAGGTCTAGCTTGGCGATAAAAATTGAAAACACACAGTTCCTTCATTTCAACAAACATTATTGTGCTACCCCTTATGAAAAGATTATAAAGGTGAGTGAACCCCAGATTCTGCCTTAGGGAGTTCACCATTGGGCAAAGAGACATGCGAATATCCATGATTAAATAGTGTGACTAGTGTAAAATAATCACACACAAAAAAGGAGAAAAGAAAAAACTAACTGAGCAGGTAGTGGGCAGAGTTTCAGAATAGTAGACACAACTATGAGCTGGCTTTATGGTGCTTCTTAAATGTCAAAGGAATTTGTAATTAATTTGAACGACAGTGCATCAGTTCAGAACCTTTAACAGAATTTACATTAATTTAACATTCTTCGGTGCTCGCTTCGGCAGCACATATACTAAAATTGATCCTTCTCTGTAGAACTTTTTAAGGAACCCTAACGTAGTTTGGGTAGCATGGCCAAGCTGAAGAGCTCTGCTTGGAAGCTGTTTCCTTAGCGCGAACGTGAGATGCTTTGCATAGGATACAGGTGCGAATAAATGCAAAGTGTGTGACTGCGTGAAAATCAGACATAGGGATAAGATATAAACCTTTACCAGTATCAGGTACTATAATCCACTCACCTGCGTTAGTTTAAAAGCTATCAGAACTGATTCCTTGTGAAAGGGCACAATTCCAGCCACTAGCTTCACCGCTCAGCGCCCCGGAGGCCCAAGGCAGGCTTAAGGCAAACCCAGGCCAGATGTCAGAGCACGAACTACTGACGTCATGTAAGCGTGACGTCACCAGCACTGACGCAGTCTCACAGGGAGGGGCCTCTCAGCTCACCTCAGAACGCAGTCTGGTCCGAGGAGCTGCGAGTTGACGGTCTTGCATTCTGCCCCAAAGGTCCGAATGGTCAGCGCTGCGGGAACCGAAGAGCCGAAGCCGCTCCGGAGCTGAAAACGGGCCACTTCCCTCCTTCCTCGGCCCTTACGGGCCTCCTCTCTAAGGCCCCGGCGCGGTCCAGGCAGCGGCGCGCTCACGAGCCCGTCGCTTGCGGCGGTCACGCGCACGCACGCTGGTGCGCACGTTCCCTGAGAACCCGGAAGTGCGAGGGAGAGGAGAGCCACGTGGGTGGAGCTGGATCGCGGCTCGCATGGGGGAGTCTATCCCGCTGGCCGCCCCGGTCCCGGTGGAACAGGCGGTGCTGGAGACGTTCTTCTCTCACCTGGGTATCTTCTCTTACGACAAGGCCAAGGACAATGTGGACAAGGAACGAGAGGCCAACAAGAGCGCGGGGGGCAGCTGGCTGTCGCTGCTGGCGGCCTTGGCCCACCTGGCCGCGGCCGAGAAGGTCTATCACAGCCTCGCCTACCTGGGGCAAAAACTAGGTACCTCCGCCCCGCCCCCAGTGCCCTTTTGAGGAGGAAGGAAAGGGGGTATATTCCCCGATCGGCCGTGGCTTGGGTTCCTTGTCTCACTCCTAGCCTCAGGCTCAACTTGGCACTCCCAGATCTCCTCCCACCGTTCCCTTCCTCCCCTCGGCTTCCACAAACCCCGCCCACCGGCCTCTGCTGCTGATAGATTGGCCGCCGGGTTGGATGCTCTTTTCAAGGCTGTGTCTCAAATCGAAGGGTGTATCCATTTTGCTCAGTGCATGGATTGGTGCCATAAATGAAAAGTTAAGCAGACTGTGTGTCTTCGCTCTTCTGACCAGTGACAACTGTGGCCACAAGAGCAAAACTTGGCAATACAACCTAGTTAGAATTAATGAACACTTTTGTCTGGCCTCTTTTAACACTTTTGTTAAGGCCCCTGCGAGTTACAGATAGAGTCCTACCCCTTCTAGGCAGTCAATAAATATTTAATGGATGAGGAAATAAATGAATACTGGAGAGGAAAGGCAAGAAATATGCCTAACACTAGTAAGAGGGGACTTAAGGGGAAAATGGTAAACACTCCTATCATTCCATCATAAATCTTGGCCCTGAAAATAAGATGCAAGAGCTGATTCAACCGATTTTCACTAGTAGAAACAATTAGTATGAGTAGATCAGAAGGAAATAAAATATGTGAAAGCCAAGGGTATGCATATAAAGTATTACTACTTACAATTACCAACAATCAATATGAATCCCAGAGCTTTCAAAGTTAGTATTTTGGCCCATTTTTAGACCCTTTAATTATCAGAAGCACAGAATCTGGTATGAATGAAGAACACATATATGCAATAAAGAATAGAAAGGTAAAGTTGAGTGCAGATTCCATTTTGATTTTTAGGGCCCCATTTCTTTGTATGGCCTGAAGGTGGCCATGTGCATATTGCTTTCAGTAAACACCCAAAGGGCAGGGCTTTCTGAAATCTTAACTTCTGCCTTAGCTGTTTAAATAATTTGTTTAGTACGTTGACTTACCGGCAAAGTGCTTAGACAGAATCACCGTGTGTATTTTTTCCACCCCTTTTTACAGTGGCAGTTCTCACAAATTTGCAATTGCTGTTGAAATGTTATTATTCCCCTTTCTACAGATTAGCAAATTGTTTATGCGCACTTGTGTGGGTAGGTGACAGGTCTCAAACCAGAATACCTGCCTTTGAACTGTCAGATTGTGTTTTTATACGTATGATTTATTCTTAAAAATTGCTGTATTATAATTTAAAAATACGTTGTATATACAGTTGACACTTGAACGATAGGGGTTTGAATTGCATGGATCCACTAATACACGGATTTTTTTTTATAAATACAATACAGTACAGTAAATGTATTTTTTATCCTTCATGATTATCTTAACATTTTCTTTTCTCTAGCTTACCTTACTATAAGAATATAATATATAATACATATAACATATAGCGTATGTGTTAATCTGTTGTTTATGTTATCATTAAGGCCTCAAGTTGACAATAAGCTATTAGTAATTAAGTTTTGGGGGAGTCAAAAGTTGTACTCGGATTTTTGACTGCTGGGGTAGGTCAGCTCCCTAACACCCCCTCCACCACTCCTGGCATTGTTCAGGGGCCAGCTGTATTTGGAAATGGGGAGAATTCTAGCTGTAAAATTGAAGGTGGGTAATTTTCTGGCAGTTTTAGTTGTTTTTAGATCCCGTCACCTCATGAAGAATGGTGATTGGTCCCCGTCCCATGATCTTAAGTTTGTTTAGGTTCATGTATGAGAATTTGATGAAGCCCATGGACATATATGGAATATATATGGGAAATACAATTTTGCATTTAATCTGCAAGGGTTCAGCTGGATTTCCTAAAGCCTATTGATGGACCCCAATTTAAAAATCTGCTATGCCAGTTTAAGGTGTATGTGTCTGGTTTCAGGAAAACAGAACTGCCCTGTGTGTAAGAGCACGTGTGAGATCATCACTGTTTCTGCCTTGGGTTCTGTGAAATGGCCCTCTGTTGCTGCTGAAGCGAGCACTAGCCCTCATTATGTAAAGTCATTAGTTCTGCATAGACCCCTAGGTTGCATGGATGAGCCTGAAGGCTGCACCTTGAAATTGACCCAGGAGCAATTTATACTATGAAACATGCCCAGGCGTGGTTCTGTTCCCAGGTGATCTGTGATTTCTAAGTGAATGTTCCTAAGCATGGCATGTTTAATGCCTCATTAACTTATTCACATGTATAGTAAATGTAGGTTCCAGATTTTAAATTTTAACTTTGCATCTTACAGTTTTTTGATACTGGAATGTTTGTGATATTAACATGCTTATGACTTTGTGACTTTTTTATTGAAAACTTGTGAAAAAATTTTTGTGTTGCCACTTAAGACATTTCCACGTTCTTCAAATACTTTGTTAATTAGAATTTTTTTTTTTTTTAGGCAAAACAAAAAGTTTTATGTGTATTTTTAAACATTTAAAACATGGTCCAAGAAAGTGAGTCTCTCTGACTCACTCTTATGACTGGTTGTTGATCAGAGACCTTGGCAGTGAATCCTGATTATAGATGCCTGTATGGGCAAACACTTTAGGCAAAGGACAGATCTGACAGGGAGCCTTCTGCTCCTGTATTGGCTCAGTTCTGAAAAACTCTGGGTGGGCCCCTTATCTTAGAGCTTTCTCTTTCCTTTGAGGGGAGAATATACCTGTTTGGGGAAGGATCAGTGATAAAAATATGCCATCTCAATGCTTTTGCAGTCAAATGCTCTACCCCTGCCATCTCAATGCTTTTGGAGGTTTTTAGGTCATACTTTCTCCCTTCTTGTTTAATTACTGGAGAGTTTTCTCAATCTCTGGTTGCTAGAATTTAGCATAGTAGAAAATGACTTGAGAACCGGTGTTTATAAATTATCATTAACAATAAGTTGTGGGATAAAATACTCAATTAGACATTTTACATACTCCTTTAGTATATTTATTACTTGAAATTTCATTATGTGAGATGGACTCCTGAAATCTTGAGAAATAATGAGGATTCAATACATAGAACCTTCTGGAAATAATTTAAAATAATCGTACTTTATAAATCCATAAAATTGTAGAGAGGGAGATGTCTGGTGTCTCTGCTTCCTTGTTTCCCAGTAAGAAGGAAAGCCAGTCTCCATTGGATATTCCTAACCAGGGTAGTCAACAAGTAGGACTGTGCTCCTTAGAGCTTTGAGAAAAGAGACCTGTTAGAAGAAATTCATCAGTGGTCTCTCCCATCCTCGTAGTGTCACTTGGTTTCACTACTAGTGATCGATGTTTACTGATAAGCTTTTCAGGGTATTCTTTGTGTTTCCACTCCCTCAGATAAGGGTTATCTGATGGAAAGGTATTCCTTTTTCACCCAGAGTTAAAATTGTCACCAAGGCCACCCTATTAACAGCAGAGTTGAGTACCCGGTTGAGGTCACCTAGCTAGCTAGCTATGAAGTAGGTAGCTATTCTTTTTTACAGTACATGAAGCTCCCAATTTACCATAGAGTTTTAGAAGTCCAATTAGTAGTAGTTAGAATTTTCTTACATCAGTTATAAATGGAAGGAAAAGGGATTAGTGATGGAATACTCACTTTGCTCCAGGCACATTACATACCAAATGGTATTTTATTTTGTCTTCTTGGCTCTATTACTTGTTTCATGTTAAAAACAACTAAGGCTCAGAGTGGCTAAGTCATTGGCACATTCCACAGCTTCTAAGTTCAGAACTGGAATTTGGAACTAAGTTGGTCAGACTTCCAGACCTTTTAGGTTTTTGGGTTGTTGTTTTTTTGTTTTGTTTTGTTTTGTTTTTTAAGATTTTATTTTTTAAGTAATCTGTACACCCAATGTGTGGCTCAAACTCACAACCCTGAGATTAAGAGTTGCATACTCTGCTGACTGAGCCAGCCAGGCGCCCCATAGATTTTGCATGGTACTCTCGTCTTGTTACCTACCTAACCTAAGAGAATTTTTTCCTAAACTTGGGCACAGAGGTCTATTTATTCCATACTGTTGCCCCACAAAATCTGTAAGGTTAGACTGAAGATAGACAGGGAGGGAGGGCAAACCCTTCAGGGTACAGTCCTGGGTGGGATGTGACTGTTGGGGTCAATCCAGCTGCACCACGTGGCTTTTGCGGCTCTTAGTAGGAGAAATGATTTGAATGCAGGTTACTTTGTTTAGGCAGTATATTGAAGGAAACATTTTTTAAAGTAATAACACTTTGTGGAATAAGTAGTAAGTAGGGTGACCAACCTTCTAGGTTTGCCCGGTGCTGGGGGCGTTCCCAGAACATGGGACTAAGTCTGGTTTTCCAAGATGCCAGGTTTTCAGTGCTAAAACCTAGAAAGCCCTGGGTAGACTGGGACAAGGTGGTCACAGTAGTAGGAAAGTTTGAAATACAAACTGGGCCGTGAACTAGAAAAGAACATTGTGAAATGATTCATTTGTTAAGGGGATATTTTACAAATGCCTTGATGTATTTAGAATAGTAATAAATTTATTCATGAAAGCATCCTGTGTATATCAAGAGAAAATTTAAACTGTCATCCATCTCTTAGGTTTTAACTTATATATTTCTAATATATAAATATTAGATACTAGATAATATTAGATAAATATATATAACATGTATTTCTATATAAATATTTTTATTTATATATTTCTAATTTATATATCTCTAAGAATTACTGTTTTAAACCTGCCCTGTTTCTTTTCATTCTTCTAATGTCTTGCCTGTGACCCTTTCTTTAGTGGGGTGCAGAATTGCTTAAGAAAACATGTACGAACCTGGCTATATAATTATTAGAAATAGAGTTGATCATGTATTAATACAAAGCAAGAAAATGATGTCTCTGCCACTTGATCCTTTTTAACTGTTGAAAGGGATGTATTTGGTCTTTTTTATTTTATTTTTTCCTGATTTCCTTTGGAACCCCTGAGTTACAGCAACAGTTATTATAATTGCTTCCTGCTCTTAATCATTCACAAAGTGGTGCTTGCTTTGTTATAACCTATAGTGTCAGCCTTGTCAAGAGTATTAAAGATTTCTGGGTGCCTGGCTGGCTCATTCAGAGGAGCATGCAATTCTTGATCTCAGGGTTGTGAGTTCAAGCCCCATGTTGGGTTTAGAGCTAACTTAAAGACAGAAAAAAAAAAAGTACTACCGATTACCTTTTTTCTGCTAGGATCCCAGTAGTCTGTGTTCTTGTGAAGGGAAATACATGTATGTATATTTTCCATTTTCTGGTATGGCTTAAAAGATAAGATTCAAAGGAAAATGCAACTCTAATGCAGAAATAATATTTTCTGATTTATCAGGAATAACAACAGTGTTTTCCAATTAGGTATTCTCTTTTGTTTTAAATACATGTCTGGGGAAGGAGAGCTATTTAGCTCCAGGTAGATGGTACCTGCTAGGTCAATTAATCTCTGAAATAAATATGAATCCTCATTGAAATGGGATAAGGGAGAGTTGATACTTGGGTAAGGAAATCATACACAGGTCTGTTGTTACACTAATGAGTTGCACCAGACATTCATTTCTTATTCCTCTGTGAAATTATGAATCACAAAATATTTAAATTCCAATCACAGGAGTCAGAGAATGTGGTAGATGATATTAACTCCCTGAGCTCAACAGACTCCACTCCTTCCTTTTTGGATGCTGGGATATGTTTGGTCCTTCTGGGGTCTCTTCCTCACTTGTCATGTGCTAATGTCATTTGCCTCCCAGGGGGCCAGTCCTTCTTCAGCCGGAAGGATTCCATCCGAACCATCTACACGTCCCTGCACAATGAGCTCAAGAAGGTGGTGACTGGCCGGGGTGCCCTTGGTGGGACCGCCCCCCATGTGGAGGAACTACTTTCCCACCTGTCAGAGCAGCTCTGCTTCTTCGTTCAGGCCCGGATGGAGATCGCAGACTTCTATGAGAAGATGTACACCCTCAGCCCGCAGAAGTTCATCAACGCTGAGGAGCTTGTTGGCCTCTTAGACACCATCCTCAAGAAGTACAGCTCCAGGTGAGTGTAGGTGAGGAGGGAGGAAAGGACACACAGAGCAGTCACACACACACACACACACACACACACACACACACACACGAGCTCCCTCCCCGCACTCTTATAAAGAAAATCTATGATGAAATGACTGCAAAGGGAAGAAATAGTCATTTTACTTTTTTTTTTTTAAAGATTTAATTTATTTATTTGACAGAGATCACAAGTAGGCAGAGAGGCAGGCAGAGAAAGAGAAGAAGGGAAGCAGCTCCCTGCTGAGCAGAGAGCCCGATGCGATGCGGTGCGGGGCTCAATCCCAGGACCCCAGGATCATGACCTGAGCCGAAGGCAGAGGCTCTAACCCACGGAGCCACCCAGGCGCCCTATCATTTTACATTTTATACATATTAATTAAGCAACAGGTGAACATTAGTTCCCTTCTTTGCGCTTCATTAACACCATGCTGGGTAGATACTACTTTAAGCAATGGCCAAAGACCAAGAATGAAGTCATCCTTAAAAGATGTATTATAACTGATTTTGCTACTTATGAAAGAGTTCGCACAAAGGGGAGCATTGTATATAAAATAATGGGGTTTTTTTTGTTTTTTGTTTTTTTTTACTAAACCATTATTCAAATCAATATCCCTTTCAAAGTAATCACCTTGGTGAGTTACCCACTTAGTCCTCAGATTACTTACCATGGGTTGGAAACTTCTTTATAATTGCTTTCAGCATCTGTGGCATAGTTCTGGTTTTGTTTTAAACTTTCTCAGTGGAGACAGGTATCTGTGTTTTTGAGGAGAGCATACTTAAATTTTTTGTAATAATCAAAAGGCTATTTGTAGCCAATTTAATTTTTTTTTAAAAGATGTCGATTAGCTGGAAAATTTGTATTTGAAGGAAACTGCTACTTTTACTTGAAAAAAAATGAGCCTAGCTCTTATGTATTCCTCAGTGCCTGAACCAAAAAACAGTACGCAAGAAATTTGAGAAGTACTGCGGGTTATTATTCAGCTGTAGAAAGGAATGAAGTATGGATACAGGCTACAACATGCATGGACCAGTTACAAAAGATATCATATTCTGTCATTACAGTTACAGGAAATGTCCAGAATAGGCAAAGTCATAAATAAACACAGAAAATAGATTATAAATTACAGATTCAGAAAATTTTTGTCAGGAATTAAGGGGGAAGGTGAGAGTGGGGAAGTGACTGTTCATGGGTATAGGGTTCCTTTTTGGGGGGTCATGAGACTATGCTCAAATTAGATAGTGGTGATGGTTGCACAACTCTGACTATACTAAAGTCATTTTTTACTATGGTAAAAAGTATACTTTATGTATACGAGTTAAGTAGTAAAGCTTTCATGAAAAAAGAAATAAAGCTGTGCAAGGAACACACAAACATCCTTCCCCTGGACTCATATTATTAAATGTTGCTATGTTTGCTCTCTTTCTCTCTGTATATAATTTTATCCCCCCCCCCCCGAATTGTTTGGAAGTTAGATGCAAACATCATGACATTCTATGCCCAAATACTTGGATTGTATCTTCTAAGAATTAAAAAAAACTGTAGCATAGTTTCCTACTCAGGAAATTTAGCACTAATATTTTTTTTCTACTATCAGCAGTAAATAGTATTTAGATTTCCCCAATTGTCTCCAAAAAGTCCTCTGTATTATTTTTTATTGTCATATATTTTCTGTTTTTATGATATATTTTGGATTTTTGTTTTATCTATTTTTACTGGGTAGTACATTAATATGGCTCAAAATTTATAAAGTATGAAATAATACATAGTGAAAAGTGCTCCTTTTCTTCATCTACCTAATTCCTTTCCTAAGAGGCAGTGAATGTTGGGTGTTTTTTTTTTTTTTTTTTAAGATTTTATTTATTTACCAGAGAGAGAGAGAGAACAAGCAGGGGGAATAGCAGGCTGAGCACACAGAGGGGGAAGCAGGCTCCCTGCCAAGCGAGGAGCCCAATGAGGGACTCGATCCTAGGACCCTAGGATCATGACCTGAGCTGAATGTGGATGCTTAACCGACTGAGCCACCCAGGCATCCCAGTAAATGTTGTTTTAGCAAGTTCTTCCTATCATTCTTGAGAGATAGTCTGTGCATATGAATATACACGTTTTCTTTTTTTATTTTATTTTTTTTTAAAGATTTTTTTTTTTTTTTTATTTGACAGACAGATCACAAGTAGGCAGAGAGGCAGGCAGAGAGAGACAGGAAGAGGAGGCAGGCTCCCCACTGAGCAGAGAGCCCAATGCGGGACTCGATCCCAGGACCCTGAGATCATGACCTGAGCCGAAGGCAGAGGCTTTTAACCACTGAGCCACCCAGGCGCCCCCGTTTTCTTTTTTTAAAACAAATTTTCCATGTTAACAAATTTTCTGTGTTTGGAACTATTTTACTTCTTCTTCAAACCTAATTGGTACATTTTTTTTTAATAAAATAATTTTTTGAAATGCAAAAACAAAAATGCTGTTGGAGATATGATTCTTACAGAGAATCTCATGTGGTGATTCCCAAATACTAACTTGACAGTAATTTGCTGAATGGTTTGGGAAACTTAAAGAACCAAACCTGCCCCTTGTCACCCTGCCCTCCTTCCCTGAGGGTTAAGAGTTAGTGATTCTCAATTGGGTGCGCAGAAACCTGTATGTTTTAAAAGTTCTGGGGCACCTGGGTGGCTCAGTTGTTGGGCTTCTGCCTTCGGCTCAGGTCATGATCCTGGGGCCCTGGGATCAAGCCCCGCATCGGGCTCCCTGCTCAGCGGGAAACGTGCTTCTCCCTCTCCCACTCTCCCGGCTTGTGTTCCCTCTCTCGCTGTGTATCTCTCTGTTAAATAAATAAATAAAATCTTTAAAAAATAAATAAAATAAAATAAAATAAAAGTTCCCTGTGATATTGAAAATAGTCTCCATGAAAAAAAATTGTTTTGATAAATAAAAGAAAGATACCAACACTGCGATATACTAGGTATTGAACCTTAACTGTGTGTATGCACGTGCGTGTATATGTCTTATAGGAATGATTATGACCATTTAACTATTTTCATTTTCATTTGATTAGGTTTGTGATCTATCCTATTTGCACCTTCTTTGAAACATCCCACTTCCCAGACCTTTGAGAATTTCTTCCATTTTCTGCAAAAGCCCAGTTTTCATTCTTGAAGCTTTTAGGGCAGTACTTGGCTATACCAGGTACTGAGTGGACACTGATGAAATTGATGGAGCCGGGGGGCAGTATCACCCAAGGTCAAGGTATTTTATCTGTCTATATTCTCCACCCATGCTGCCTTTATCTAATTAAAGGGAATTACAGATTATAGATACATCCAACGCTAAAAATTATCTTAATTACAAACCTAAGGTTAATTTGAACAACATAAATTCCTTAGTTAAAAAATTCTGAAAAGTTGAAATTCTGTATAATATGTTGATTTTGGGGGGAGAAGGTGGAATTATTTTAGGTATAAATTAACATACTTTCCTTTTGCCAGGATAATATCCTTTATTTCTATAGACCTTTTTATTTCTTCTTCATAATATCCTTTTTTCTGTAGACCTTTCTTCTCCTCCTCCTCCTCCTCTTTCTCCTTCTCCTTTTCTGTAGACCTTTTGATTTGGCATCTGTGCTATACCAAACATGTTTCTTTCATGGCTCCAGTGTTCTAGAGAAGTAATTCATATTTTGTATTCTCTTCTGTTGAAAGAGTAAATCCTTTTCCCAAATGACCCAGTTTATCTTTCAGGAAATGTTTATTCACCCCAGTATATCTGATCCATGTCAGAACGCTTCTTTATCTCGTAAGTCGTTCATCTTTCAAATGATAAAATGCTTTTGCAGTAAAGAATTAACAAGCATAATGTATATCATGGAGTAGCCCTGATTTGAGATGCAGATTCTGTGTGCATTACTGCAAAGGCCAGTCTGCTTTCAGAGACGAAATGGGAAACACGTTTGTTTTTTCCCTTTGGAAGGCAGTTGTATTCAGAGTAGAACTGTATTAAAGGTTTCCTCCTTTGGCAAACTTATTACATTATTAAGCAAATGTAAATTATTGCTTATGAACCACAGTCATTGAGATGCTTCATTTCAAATCGAATAATTAACGTTAATCATTTTTACAGTTTCCACTGTGTGCCCTTAGAAGGAAAAATATGAATTTAGCTCATACAGGATCAGGATATCTACTATTCCTTGAATACTTTTGAGGAGAGGTAGAACTTGGTGTGTTGTTTTTGTTTTTGTTTTTGTTTTGTTTTCTTTCCAGAGAAAACATCAATGGAACATTTTTTGATTCTGTAGAATTCATTTTTAATTTACTTACCTCTTTTGTACAGTGAGCATAAAAGAAGATTCTGGCAAATTTTTCTATTTCATAGTTAAACAAAGCTGGAAGATGGGTTATAAATGCAAAATATTTACTAAGTCGAGAGTAATTCTTAGTAATTCTTTTAAAGAAGTAATTCTTTTAAAGAAGCAAGTATTTATTCATTCCAGACAGCTTTTAAAAATCCCTTTGATGGGGGCGCCAGGGTGGCGCAGTAGGTTAAACACCAGACTCTTGGTTTCAGCTCTAGTAGTGATCTCTCCACTGGGCTGTAAGATTGCCCCTGCCCCTGCATCAGGCTCTGCGCTCAGCAGGAGACTGCTTACGACTCTTCCCCTCCCTCTGCTCCTCTCTGCCCTGTGCCAGCATGTGCGCTCTCTCTCAAATAAATAAATAAATCTTTAAAAAAAAGAATCCCTCTCAGGTGGCAATAATATACCATTAAGTGACTTATATCCTGTAACCATGATTTTACAGATAGATTTTAAAGAACTTTTTTTTTTTTAAGATTTTATTTATTTATTTGAATGACAAAGATCAAAAGTAGGCAGAGAGAGAGGAAGGGAAGCAGGCACCCCTGCTGGCCTTGATCCCAGGTGAGATCATGACCTGAGCCAAAGGCAGAGGCTTTAACCCACTAAGCCACCCAGGCGCCCCTGAAGAACTTGTTTTTAAAGA